ATCACTCTATATAAAACTTTAAAAAAAAGTCCTCATAGATCTCGTAGTTAAATTGTGACTACATGTACATAATTTCAGTAGTTGGGAAGTAGTCATCTCATCATCTTCGTACTTGTCCCAGGCTTAGAATAAGGCTTCATGGACTTTCTTCATATCTTTTAAGATTATGTCTTGTCAAGAGATTCTGAGAAAAGAGACGAATTTGAAGATCCACAAGCTGGGCCTCCCTTTTCAGTAAAGGTAGTAACATGTATAATCCCATGCAAGTCCGCACGTCCTGCGGGTGTTGATCCTTTTGTGTCATCCTGTAATGATTACTGTTGGAACAAATGTAAAATTTTAAAGTTGATTTAGTAAACCTATGTACAACGTCACTAATTTCAAAAATAAATCCCTGTTTAAATTGATTTCCCTTGTATAATATGAAAAAGAAAACATCAATACACTCCAGTGAATTGGCTGCCACGAACTACCGTAACGTTTATCCATGTGCTCTCCACGTACTCCATCACGTACAGCCAATATTGGTCAAGCAACCTCCATAGCGTGGTCCAGCAGCTGTCGGAAGACAGGCGGGATTTTCTCACTGGGAAGAAAAGGCAAGGACATCACCTTTTCATATTTAATCATATTGTTTCATATTTAATCGTACATTAAATATATATTGCATCTTGATTGTTAGGCTCCGCCTACTTAGTGTACTGACCAATTAATTGACTTCATATTGTTAGACAGTCTTAGAAATAAACTCATATAATATCAACATCTCGTATTCCCTGCATCTACACCAAATAAACAAACATAAAACAGAGATATTCATGTTTGTCATGGTATCTTGATATTACATGGCAATATCTTATGCCTGGATCGTCCAGTACAGTCTCTAGTTCCAGTGGGAGACAGAACTGGGGCGGACTGTAAGTCTAGACGGGGCGGACTGTATTTTGGGACAGGGCGGACCATGACTCGAGACGAGGCGGACCGTGCATTTTTTCAAATTTAACATTGCCATTTCATTTTTTTAATCTTTTGATATCGATATCATCCTAAACATGTCGTATATTTAAGGATTTTCATATCGAACAGATTTATGTATAAAAAATTAAACATCGATCTAGTTAAATATGTATGAATTAAACATGCGCACACGGAATAAGGTGTACTGTGGATTAATATACTTTTATATTTATAAATTTATTATCAACATTGACTCATACAATTATAAGCTTAAAACGGTAGCGTATGCTAGTGGTATTGGATTGAGAAAATCTCATTTGTAAAACATATTTTCGTTTTGTGCTGATGTTATTATAATCTTGAAACAATTACTTTAATTGTAATATTTTTATACAGTCGACTCTCGTTATCTCTAAGTCATCGCGGGACCGTCCAAAAAATATCGAGATAACGAAATGTCGAGATCGATAAACATTGGGTTTGAATAAAGCAGAAACTGATTTTTGCAAAAGACATGTGCATACATTATGTCATAAACTATGATATCCCCATGTCTTCTTTTCATAGGCCTAGTCAATATTTAACAAAGTACCATTAGCGGATGTTTACCAGCGGTAATACAGGAGTTTGTGATAAAAACACATAGTGAGGTTTACTCAGTAATACACCAATATAGTGAAAACATTGTTTTCATGGTGGTTGATCAAGATATTCTCCCCGGTTGGTTATCGGGTCTTCCTCGAGATTGTTCGACCACTGATTGATTTTGTGCTGATGTTATTATATATAATCTTGAAACAATTACTTTAATTGTAATATTTTTATATCTACCATTTATAATTTGTTAGCTGTATTGAGGAATATTGATAATATACATTAGTTAATTGCAATATGAAAACAAAGGAATAGCTAATAAACAATGTATACATGTATATTATTTTGCTAAACAGACAACAATTGAGACATAGCACAAAATCATTTCTGATATCACCTAACTCGTCAAAGAATCAAAATTTAGGAGCATTTGACAACGCAAGTCAACCAGGAGCGTGCAGTCAAAATTGAAGAATTATTTTTATTTTAAACAATCAGAAGGGTTATATTTATATTATTATGTATTAGCTTAAAGGTATTTTATGGTAGAAGGAAATATCTTAATCGGAATTTTTTCTAGAATCATTTTTACACTTGTCTGTCGAGTCCCACATGTGGTCATGTCAAGCAGTAGCAGCTCAATACCATATCGTAACGCTGCAATTCTAAGCATTCTTTAATTATAGGTGAACAAGCATTTTTGTGTTAAAACCATATTGACCTTGACCTTAAATTACAATGTCATCACCATATAAAAAGGCCTCATTTACGGTCATGACAAAAGGCAAAATCAAATCTTATAAATGAATGTCTACATAGACCCAAGTGTTAAAGTCAATTCACTATTGTGAATTAACGAAAACTTTCACATTAAGCTGGCGTGACTTTCAATCCATCCAATTCACTCCACATTAATTCTCGTAAACTACACGGACCAAACCGAAGTGGGATCGAATATTTAAATGAGTATTATAATGTATTCATAATTGACAGGTCAATAAAATCAGAGTAATGTTTTGATGTGTGTGTTTTATGAGGTTACCTTTGTCTACAATTGACGTATCACATGTAGTCTTCTCACTAGTGAGAACTGCCACAAATATTATGCTTTTTTAAAAAAATAACTCCTATATGCAAATGATTTATGACATATTTTACTGTTAAAAATTTTCTTACCATAGTGGGTTTTCATATGCTTTACAAGATTATTTCTTTGGAAAAGTTACATGGTCACATATATTTCCCATACCAGAGTGTACTTTTGCCATGTGTGCTTTAAGTCTACTAAACTGTGCAAATGAAAAACTACATATATCACATTTATGATTGCTCTCACCAGTGTGTATAGTCATATGTCCTTTACGACTGTTTTTCCATGCAAATGCACGATCACAAATCTCACATTTATAATTCTTCTCACTGCTGTGTAATTAAGTCCTATGTCATGTATTTTTTAGACTACATGTACAACTACGCGTAAAAGAACAACTTGCTTATCGGTCACAATAGTGGGGTTGGGACTGAAACTGGTGGTCTTAAAAGTGGAAAAGTTAGGTGGTCTTAAATGTAGATCTTGTTACCATTTAAAGCTGCACGCCTCCAGATGAGCCAAAATATTTCAAGAAAATGAAAATTGAGAAAAATGTACTAATATTTCAACAAAGGGAAAAACAAACAAGATTAATGTTGAAATTTACATGGTATTTGCGATTTAAGACTGATTTTGCAGTATTTTATCACCATATTTCTACTTCGTTACTAACGCAGTAATTAAGGTGTTTTTTTTTTTTTCACATTTTTACCTCTTTTTGGTTATTTGCATGGATAGTAAGTGCCCATTGCAATATGTAAATAATTTTACTTGTTCACCTTACAATATTTTACTGTCAAATACATTATCTAAATTTCATGAAATTTAACATAAATCTGGAAGCGTGCTGCTTAATAAATAAAGAACAAAAAATTCCATTCTTATAAGAATTGTTCTTAAAAGAGGGGTGGTCTTAAAAATCCGGATGGTCTTAAGTATGGGTTCTACTGTAATCAAATTTGAATAGAAGGAATTAATATGTACACTCTTTAAATTAATCAATTATTATTACCAGGACATGATAAAACATTTATGTGTACAGTTTACAGTTATTGTGAAAAATTCAAGGTTATTTCATAGGTATGGATACTAATATGTTGTTTACAAAATTATCCTTATGAGCAAATAAACAAACATATACAATGTACAACTTCTATATTCAATTCTATGTTTATTTTGTTTTAACATAAATACAATGTTCATAGCCAATACATGTAGTATAACGGCTGCACAAGACAAAACAATACATATTTAGAAAATGACAAGAGGATGATAATAACAATTGCATATTTTGGACACAAGTAAAACCATGATAATAACAATTACATATTTTGGACACAAGTAAAACCATGATAATAATAAGGGAAACGGACAAAAGCCCTCCCGTCAATAAATGACAAGACGGACAAAAGCCCTCCCATGAAAATGACAGGGCGGACAAAAGCCCCCCCCCCCCCGTGAAAATGACAGGGCGGACAAAAGCCCTCCCGTGAAAATGACAAGGCGGACAAAAGCTCTCCCATAACAAAAACAAATAAGTTGAAACCTGTGTTGCACTCAACATATTAAAATTGTTACATATATTTCTTGTTTCAATTGGCCTTAGTATGTGTATGGACTAGAACCACCTTTTATTCTGAATTAATATACCTTCCTGAAATGTTTAACGAGGTAACTTTTTACACGAATGTCGTTAAAAACAAAGCCACTTTTGAAAGTAATTGACTCATTGCAAGGTACATTATAAATGTCTTTTACTTTTAAGTTAGATAATTTTAAGTTCTTTTTATCATTTATTACTCTATAAATATTAACTTCACATAGGTGTAATCCTTCATATCTACGTGAATAAATATGCACTTACTGATTTTAGCACTAATTATTCAAATGCCTCTCAGGAATGTGCTCAAGCTCATACAAAAACGGTTATGTCGATGGAAAACAAAATACTCATGATTACAATTTTAATATGTTGAGTGCATTGAAAAAAAAAACTATTCAATGTACATATATGTATTTGCTGCGGGAGGGCTTTTGTCCGCCCTATTATTTTCACGGGAGGGCTTTTGTCCGCCAAGTCATTTTTACGGGAGGGCTTTTGTCCGCCCAGTCATTTTCACGGGAGGGCTTTTGTCCGCCCTGTCATTTTCACGGGAGGGCTTTTGTCCGCCTTGTCACTTTTTGACGGGAGGGCTTTTGTCCGGGAGGGCTTTTGTCCTACACTCCTGATTAGACAAATGGATAGTATACTATTTAATGTTCGGACGAGGCAATCATACACGTGCAATGGTTAAAGTTTCTAACATTATTATACGCAAATGCTGTTTTTATTATTGTAAAATAAATTAAGAGTATTTACCTATAATTAATGTGTATAGTAAATAAATATATCCAAAGTTTTCGATGTACACTTCACACTGTGTCTGTCTGATCTGTATGAAGAACATGCTCTGACAACCCTTTAAATGCTCTGACAATTAAAGTTTATCCCACGTTTTCCAGTCAAGTTTAACTAACGGACAGTGACTATCCAAAACATGTGACAAATATTTCACAAAGGTGAGAATTGATTTTCTCGATTCTCACATGTTTTGTTATTTTAAAGATGGAGGATTGACAGCTACCGTCTCACGTTCACAACTAGCCAATCTTCTTTAAGAAATATTGAATTCTTAGAGGCCTATAATCCGACAAAATAAAAAACATTAAATATCGGAGAAACATGTTTTGTTAAGCTGCTACACAGTGTATAGTAAACGGAATATTTGTATAACTTACACCAAGTCTACACAATTTAATGCGTACGTTTTGCTTCCGATCACTGCATCAAGTCAAGTCAAGTAAATTTTATTTATAAGTCGGATACATCAAACAATAAACATAAGCTCTGATGAGCTTTTTACACCGACTACAATAATATAAAACACATGTTTAAGATATGATAAATGACGAAAATGGTTATGATAAAATAAGACAAATAGCATTGCATTAACAAATAGAGTAGACAAACAGCACTGTACTAGCATTCATCAGTAGCATACAAAAGTAAGAGTTAATACATATTAGATCTAATAAAAATAAAAAGAAAAAAAAAGAAAAAAAATAATAAAAAAAAATAAAGCCCATTTATAAACATACTAAAGGTTAAGATCACACATCACAGCTTATATATAACACACACACATTTAAGCAAAGGAACATCAGGCATACATACACACAGTAAAATGCATAGACAAACCAACTTATAAAAAGGGCAAATTATATATAAATAAATAAAACATGGTTAGGACTAAGCAATAGATTGACAGGGTTAAAATATGCATAATGAACATCAATCCTGACATTAACATACACACAAACATTCAAGTTATACATGTATATAAAAGATGATACATAGCACATAAAAATAGAAATAAATCTATTACAATGAAAGCACACAAAAGCATAGCACATAAAAATAGAAATAAATCTATCACATTAAAAGCACACAAAAGCAGCTCATATAAGATAATTAGAACAAGCACAGTGATAAAACAAATGCAAAGCAAAAGTAACTAAAAACTTGAAACATCCAGCATGTCGCTGCCAACATTTTGTTTTTTTTTTCTTTTTGATGATGTAGAGTGTAGGACAAAAGCCCCCCCCCCCGGACGAAAGCCCCCCCGTCCAAAAATGACAAGGTGGACAAAAGCCCCCCCCCCCATGAAATTTTAACATAGGACAAAAGCACAGACATTTGGGGTTTGGAGCTCAAAACGCCTTTAAAATCCAAATAAAATGCATATTTGTCAATCCCAGCACATGTACTGATCATATATATCAAAAAATCTTAATATATGCCGTTTTGAAAAAAAATCATATTTCAACAACTATAATAATACACAAGATAAAAATGTTCGCCGGAAAAAATCCGCACCCCTACCGTCATAATCACCATGTATTTTATTCCATTTCCAATATTTTCACATAATCCTTTGGTCCATCGACACAGAAGATATTATTCATTATTATAGATGTTGAAATATGATTTTTTTTCAAAACGGCTTATATTAAGTTTTTTTGATATATATGATCAGTACATGTGCTGGGATTGACAAATATGCATTTTATTTGGATTTTAAAGGCGTTTTGAGCTCCAAACCCCAAATGTCTGTGGACAAAAGCCCCCCCCCCATCAAAAATACAGGTAGGACAAAAGCCCCCCCCCCCATCTTTTTTCACACGAGCAGGTGCTCAAATTCATCAAATTTCACACAAACTTTTAAATAAAAATGAAAAAAATTTGTTTTAATGTTTATTTATAATGTATATATTGAAGTGATAACAAAGTTTATGATAAAAAATTAAATAATGCATGCATGCAATACCGAATTCAGAGCTTTTCAAATTCACAACAAGGGTCAGAAGAGTAGTAATGTTTAATCACTTTTGTAAAGGGGTCAAATTAATATCCTAAGCACTATGTCACCTACATGTGATGTCCATACATACCTTTTAAACACATAAAAAACACAACTTTAATACACTATATGTAAATTTGATTGACAATGGGGGGGGGCTTTTGTCCTACCTTTACTTTTTTATGGGGGGGGGGCTTTTGTCCTATGTGAAAATTTCATGGGGGGGGGGCTTTTGTCCACCTTGTCATTTTTAGATGGGGGGGGGCTTTCGTCCGGGGGGGCTTTTGTCCGTATCCCGATGATGTACATGCGTTATGTGGTATTGCATGAAGTACAGGAGCAGTTCTCCCCTTGCCAAGTATTTATCAATGATCTAAAATGGTTAAAAGATGAAGTTTGTCTAAAATTATCTGGAAGTTGATTCCAAAGTTTGGCAGCGGCATACCGGAAAGATTTCTTACCATATCTGTCAGTTCTTGGTAAAGGTACCTCAACAATATTGGTGTGTCTAAAATTATATTTCGATTGTTTAAGATGTAGTAAATCATTTAAATAAACAGGAGACATATCATTTAGAATTTTGTATGTTTCTAAAGCAATTGCCTTTAATCTCCTAACTTTCAAAGAAATAAGGCCAGACTTTTCAAGTAGTTGATCATAGTTACTGTTAAAATCATCATAAATAAATCTCAAAGCTCTTTCCTAAATTTTTTTTTTTTTAAAGTTTTGAAATTTTTTTAAAAAATGAAAAAAAGGGCAAAAATTTTTGAATGACAAAAATAGTTTTGGATTTTTTAAAATAAAATTTTAAAATTTTTTATACCATTTTTAATTTCTAAATATATTTTTTTTAAAAAATTTAAAATAAAATTAAATTAAAAAACAGTTTATTAATTAATGTTTTTTATTTTTAAAAAAAATTTAATTTTTTTTTTTTTTAAAGATTTTGGGGGTTTGGGGTTACCTTTTTTGTTTTTTTTTAAAATTTTAAAAGTTAAAAACTTTTTTGTTTTCTTTTTTTCATAAAATTTGGGGGGGAACAATAAAAAGGAATTATAACAAGAAAGTAATGCTATTATTATTTTAATTTTTTGTAATTTTCATATCATTATATTCATTGGTTAACAAAAGGGGTATTGTCCAAAAAAAAATTTTTTATTTATATTTTTTTTTTAAGAGAGAGAGTTTTTTTTTTTTTTATTTTTTTTTTTAAATAAATTTTTTGATTTTTAGTAAAAACATGCGATTTTTTCAATTTGTTCAAAAACAAAATTTTTTTAAATTTTTTTAAAAATTTTTTTACCAAAAAAAAACATTTGAAGGTTTTTAGATAATGCTATTATTATTATTACTGTACATTCAATTCCACGAACTGGTGAGTTTAGAATTTATTTATGATTATGATGTATTTTATAATAACTTCATTAAATGAACTTATGATTGTGGCGGCCAATAGAAAGCATATAGCTATATTATATGTTAATATACCTACAGGTTAAGTAAGCTGTTCAATGTGTTGCAAATATTTAATACACCGATAAATACTTTCAGAACTAGCAGACGAGAGGCTTTTCTTATCAGTAGTTTTAGGAATAAAGATAACCGGTTGTTTTCTCACTGTATAAATCGTATGTAAAATGGTCTGACATGTGGTAGGTTTAACTGTTTATTTGAATACTTTGTGGAGTCAAAAGATGTGTTGAAGAATATACTGTGACGAAGCTAAGATCCAACGTTTCCTATTAGTGCAATACATTTTAAAATCGGACATTTAATCAGAAGAAACTAGTGGTTTGTTAAAGCATAAGAGATATCAATTTTACTCGAAGATAAGGGAAGCAACTCATATTTTTTCACTCGACATACCTCGGTTATTTACGTAGATCATATAGAAAGTGTTAATGGGTTTATTGTAATTGACCATAAATTTGGAGGTTTTTATTTAAATGATAATTATGCATTTCAGACATATGAAATTGATTTAACTCTATTTTTATGTTGATGTAATATTTTTAATTTCAGAGTGTTGATTTCCTCGATTTCATTGACTCGATGATTCATTCTCTGATTGTCAAATTGTTGATTGAATGTTCTAATGATCAATCAACTTATTGATTTACTGATTGATTGGACATGTCATGGAGCTTAATATAGATGGAGAAGTAACTTAGACGTCATACAGTTAAATTCAGTATTATTGGGGTTGTTTCTAACGCAAGTTATCATGTGTTTCGGGATTTTCCAAGATTTATGCATCCTGGGTAATAGTAGCCAAAATACCGCCATATTGAATTCCAAGAGGAACATTGACAAAAATGACGAAGCATTTTCTACTTACATAAGAAGCAATAGTTCTTTATTATGTTAAAACGTATCATACACACTTTTCTACACAGATATTTTTTTTAAAAAAAACAACGTCGGCAATGTAAACAGTAGTTCATTGATATCGCCAAAGTTTAACGAGAGTGCGAGAATCGGGGACTAGTGGGAAAACCCGATTATCACGGAAGCGCACTGTGGATCTGAATCTGACTTTCAACTATTTTCTGAGCTTCCTATCCATTGTATATATATCTGTGGACATGTAAGACGAATATATGTGAACTGTAAGATGTTGAAATGTGCAAAGTTGTTTGTTTAGAAGAGAAATACGCAATTTTTGGAGAAACTTTTTGTTTGAATGATCAAGGTATAAACACTTTTTGTAAATGAACATCAGACTACCATTTTCATAGTAATGGCAGGGCTTCCATTAATGGAAGTTTTGAAGTCATTTCACTCCTTGAATTTGGCTTGTGACTTCCAAAATGTAATGCTTTTTTCTTCTTTACCAATATTTTGTGACTTCCAATGTCACATTTTGCAGTCTTTGACTTCCAAATTTTGGATCTTAATGGAAGCCCTGAATGCCAATGGACCTACATGTTTCACCTAAATTGTATTGGAAATATGTGAAAAACTTCCTTTTAAAAAGTTTCTAGCTGAAGTTACTAGTTAAGCAGAGAAATGCATTGGATACCTCAGAATATTGCTATGTTGTTAAAAAAATTTCAAGCCTTATGGTCACATATTCATGGAAAAATTCGAAGAAAGGAAAATAGATTGTCAGGTGTATAGATTTCCAGTCTGCTTATCATTTACATACAATCTGGAAAACTTCAGTAGTGTCACTGGGGTCAAAATTAATCCTGTCTAATGGTAATGTTGTAAAAAGTTCT